ATTATTTCTTTTGTTACTTTTTTTGTTAATAACTATTTAACGAATAATCCACTAAATCCCATAAACATGACACACGATTAAATGAGCATATATAACTTATTATGTTAATAACTTTTTAATAAATAATGAGCGACGGGAAACGTCAGTGGCCTTAAACTTCTTAAGGGTCAAGGTCAAGATCAAAATCAGTCGGAAGTCATTTGGGGCTGACTGTGTAAAGGTAAACATTTACCGTCATTTCTTCGCAAAATCCTTTTACTGTTATGTTCTTAGATATCAGTAAAACGTTTATTGACAATTTCATGAAGATTCAGAATTTCAGTGCAAAAGTTTATGTTAATTTTTGTCTACTTTTGAATACACTTTCGTTTCATATGTATACTTTTTAAATACATATAAATTAGGTAATTGTTTTGTTTTAGAACTTGAAAAAATTTATAACAAATTCATCGAATGGATTTATTTATATGAGTCTTGGCACAAATGTCATGATGTCATCATTCTCGGAGCATGTGCAAGATGTATTTCGAGATGTATTTGCAAGCTTGCCATACAAAGTTCTATGGAAACATGACAACGAATTATCAAATAAACCTGATAACGTTTACATCGCTAAATGGTTTCCTCAACAAAGTGTTCTTGGTAAATCTATAAGATCTTTTTATTCAATTAAGAGGATTCTAGAGTGAAAATTAAACTTACATGAGGCCGATGATACAGACTTAATTTCAATCTAAAAAATATATATTGATATTTTGATAGATAATAATAACATTTTGATTCAATTTCTTACATTATCGTTCTGTCTCATTCAAACGCGTACGTCTGACTTTATCTAACATATTAAAGCGCCATCTTTTACAAGAGTGTACACCTATTGCTATACACATTTACAATTCTGTCATCTACCGCGAGTACACATGCATAAAATCAGATCAAATAAAATTTTTTTATTAGACTTTTAATCTCAGCTTTCATGATTCAATTCTTTTTCTTAATTTAGTCCAAATACTACCAACTTTACCATTCATACAATTAAGTTATATAATTTATATATTAAGCAAACGTTTTTATGAGTTGACAGCTCTACGTTAAAAAAATGTAACAAGTATAAATATTACATATAACTTTTTAATTATTTTTTTCGTTCTTAATTTAAGTTGCGTCTAATACCATGGTATAGTTTATTCGTGTATGAAAAAAGGTTTATGTGTGAATTAGCCAATTCGGAGATATTCCGAAACTGTAATGTTGATAATAGTAATGATGATAATTCTCCGTCAGTCCAACATTTCTTTAACCAAAATAATTAAGATATATGCTTACATAGCTTTTGTTAATCATTTCGTTCTATTTTTCGTTTCGCAGCTCACCCAAATATTAGATTATTCATATATCAAGGTGGACTTCAAAGTACGGAAGAAGCTGTTTATTATACAGTGCCACTTTTAGGATTACCGATATTAGCCGATCAATATGTTCAGGTTAATAAAATGGTATCTTTAGGAGTTGCAAAACGTTTAAATATTCTGAAAATATCGAAAGAAAATCTAATCGCATCTATAACAGATATTTTAAGCGATAAAAGGTAATTATTTTCTTTCATAAGCATTTTCTTATTACGTCATTAATTATTTTAAGAGAATTATTATGCAACGTTACGTTATGCATACAAAATACTTATGCATATAATTTATAGATCAAATGAATTTACCAAGTAAAGTTTGATCATAATTATGCCATCGGGTCTCGTCCGGATGCAGAAATAATTGTAGTAGTGCGCCTGAGCAAACAAAATTCAAAAAATTCCGCTTAAAACGAAAAATCTTTTTTTTTGTTTTTGTTTTAGCAGTGCGCCTAGCGACTTTGGCGCACGCACACGTAGGCATCTTTATTGTGTTTCTGTTAGCGTTAGCCAACGGATTCTTCGAATGTCCCTCCAAGAGAATCTTCAGATTTCTTTTGATTTCTTGGATTTGAAATGCCAGGTTCACATCGCCGAAGTCGCTCAAGATCCAAGGATCGTCGACGTCACAAGAAACGCTCCCATGTACACAGAAGAGATCGCAATAGGTTGCTGTTCTTGTTCTCGTTCTCGAGAGATTAGCCAATCCTCTTCCGAAGATCACCACGAGGTTCGTCGAGAGCTTCCTCCATGCTTCAAGATTCAAGTCTTCCAGAGCAAATCTTGGCGGCGATTTAGTCTCAGGGCCAAAAGATAACCTTACTCGAAGGCGAGGTTAAGGAACGCTCAGCGGGCTTTCCCGTATCTCAGCCACAAGAGGAGTCGACGGCTCTCGAGAGTCGGGGCTCTGAATCAGGTAAGCCTCTTAGTCGACCCTTTTTTTCAGTTCCGCGGTAATAGCGGTCTGCGTGTCGCGCTCCGTGAGAGCTAACCGAACGCAGAAAATTGGCAAAGAGGGGGCTTAACCGACGGCTCCTCTGCGGCACTAAATCTTGTGGCTATCCCTTCCCCCCTCTTTTCAACCATAATGTCAGATCCTGTAGATCGTAAGATTAGCTTCGCGCCTCCTGACGCTGAACATAATGAGGACCCTTCAGTTGTCCGCCAGCTGTTCCACACGCAGGAGGATTTCCTAGAGTTCGCGTGGGTCAGTGGACCAGACTGTCCTTGATTTTGCCATAACCACTGCCTGTATGGGCCTGCAAGAGGATTTGCGCATCCAATTAATGACAAAGTTTAAAGTCAAGGACGAGCTCTCAGTGTTAAAACTTCTTCTTTTTACGGTTTTAAGACGCTGACGCAATTGCAAAATCGTTTTACAAGAGGCTCTTCTCCAATTGCATTAGCGGAAATCAGAGAAACCGCTGATCTGGCCGAGTTTAGCAAGGAGTATGAGCCGACCGAATGTGACAGGTTCGTTAGAAATTGGAGCTCCTTGGTTTCCGGGGCAAAAAGTGTGCATTGAGGTCGGTGGCAAAATTTCCACCAAGAACGCAAAGGACCTGAGTATTGGAGAATTGTCGATGGTGCAAAGGATGCTAGAATGATGTCAATGGCGGATTGTGGGACACCTTTGGCCTCAAAAGCTTGCCCGATAATCTCCCTACCCCCAGGGAAAGAGACTGGGCAGCTGGATGATGTCCTAAAAGGAGAAGATAAAAGATCATCCCCTAGATTCAAAATAATCGATTTAGAGGTTAAGAGTTTTAAAGAGCGGAAACCAGAATTGCAAGGGCCATCATGGAACGATCACAATCCCTACCGCTTTGTCATTAATAATCTTTCGTATAACCCTAGGGATAAGAATAAAGGGGGGAAAGGCGTAAAAGTAAAATTTTCCCCAGTAAAGAGTAAATCTTAAATATATAATACGACTTCGAAAAAAAATCTGTTGTTAAATCATAAAAAGAATCTAAGTGGCATTATCTTCAATATATAACAATCACGGAAAATTATTTTGTAATTAATATATCCCGAAAAAAACTATTGTATTAAATTAAA